TTCCTTTCTTCAGCTTCAATGTTTTTGAGATCTTCAACAGCCTCTCTCAGTCTCTGCACATTATCGTGAACTTCTTCAGCAGTTTCTTCCAATTCTTCTTTCAGCTTCTGGGCTTCTATCAATGACTTCTGTGGCAGCTGAATTGTTTTTTCGGCCTGAAATGAAACAACCAGAATAAAAAAAATTAAGCACGTTATCAAGTTCATTAACCTAATCAACCAACTTGACTACAAGTACTTGTAAATTCATTGTTACACTTTCCTTCTAATAAAGGAGCAGCTATCATTAACATATAGCTAGTCATCAATATGAGCTGACCTTTACTAAACCGTGGATTTTGCAACTTACATAGTTAAATGGTTCTTCCATAGCAGATTTCATGTCTTTATCATCTGAAGATTCCTCTGATTCGGAAATGCTTAACATTTCCGCTGAAGCATCGTCACTGTAAAAGCTCATTCTGCTCGGTTCTGCACTAAACCTGCTAACGTCCGGGCTCAGTCTACTTGGTTCTTCAGAACCAGCGTCTGGGCTTTCTTCTGCTTCTTCCACTTCAACTAGTCTTTCAACTTTTTCATCTTTTTTTGTTTCTACCTCTTTTTCTTCTCCATCCTCACTCCCCTTCTCCACTTCGTCTTCTTCTTCTTGCTCCTCATCTTCTTCCTCTTCTTCTCCTTCACCTTCTTCCTCTTCGTCTTCGTCATATTCTTCATCTTCGTCATACTAAGTAAAGTAGTATTATAATTTACAGACCACTATAGCTAAATTGTACGAGAAAATTGGTCACAACTAATTCTTTAATTACTACTTCAGACAGCTCTTGAAAAAAATGTTACTTAATATAGTCGCAAAAACAACTTTGGCTTATAAATTGCTTCCTAATAGAAGAAGAAAAGTGAAAAGCACATTTTTTTAGAGAGAGTAATTAAAGACAATTTGAAAAAATAAGGCCATGATTCTATAAATTAAATTTTTTTATATTAGAAGGGGTTATTAGTTTGGAAGATACTGGGTTCTTGTTAAAGCCGGTTGTTTACATGTTGATCAAATAACTTAAGGCATAATTTTGATTTTGGATCTTTTATGCTGTTAAAGTAAAATTTGAAATGAGAGAACTAAACGAATATTTATGATAATGGTGTGCTTGTCAAATATCAGTTTGCTATGATTGAGACTAGTATCCAAAATACCAGATTAACTGACTTCAGTTTCTTCATAGTATTCGCTGCTTGTTGTGCCATCTGAATCTTTCAAGGCAGCTTTCTGCACCAACTTTAAAGTACATCCGACATCAACGTCTCCACTTTCTCCATAATATTCCTAAATTATACACCGTAGTAGAAAACAAGTGTTTTGAAGATTATGAAATATTGGTAAAGAAAATTACTTCATCGCTTGAATATGTTGCTGGACTTAGGTAACCGCCAAGACTAGACGACGGAGGTCGATAATGGCCGTCTTTATGGCTAACGTCTTGACGGCTTTGAGATCTTGAGTATTGGCTGTCTGAAGAAGAAATTCATTTTGTCTGTGTTAAAAACACTAAAGCGACTGTTCAAAGATTAATTAAAAAATTGAGCTCTGACCATCTGATGCATAATCAACCATATCTTCGTAATCTGACATAGATTCCACAGATTCCTCTTTAGCTGAATCCCATTCATCCATTCCATCATAACTAACTGAAGCGGTAAATATGGGTGCTGGAACGGCCATTGCTTGCGAAACTCTTCCGCGGCTTTCGCTAAATGGACAGCAACATTGAGTTATGTATAAGTTTCAGTAGCTGATGCATTTTATTTTTTACGCAAATTCCATTTTTCAACGTTTCTTGCATGAAGTTTTTTTGTGTATAATTTCAGATTTTATTAACCTTGATAAAAACGTTCAGAATATTTGAACGGGGATTGTTAAAGTTGTTGACAGTGGATACAAACCTGGCAGGTTGATCCATTAACTGCAGCTCAAAATCGCTCTCATAATCTGTGAACGGTGACGGTGTCCGGGCAGGCGACAGTGAGTGGAATGATCTTGATCTATCAGCTGAAGTTTTTATGTAATACAACGTTGGTTAGCATTGTTGAAAGAATTATTCAAATAACAGTGACCATAGAAAACTATTTAAAAAAATTTGACTGTAAGAAACACGTAACAATTACTGTTGATGAGAATAAATTTTATGCGGTTAAAAAAATCTGAAATTTTTGAGGTTACAATTCTTTGTAACCTTCTTTAAAAGATAATAAAAAATTTTTTTATTTGTAACATAAAGTATTTTGGAAAAAATAACAAGTAGTTTTTTTTTAGTTTGTCTAATTTAGCTTAAAATTATTGTTATGAGACATTCAAAACAGCAGTCAGTCAGATGAGGAATACAAGTGAAGATCAGTAGACGTTTGAATATTTAGTATTAGTTTTAAAACTGGAAGATTTGTTTATTATGACATCATTTTTAGCGGCTTATCTTTGGGTATTAAAAAGCACTGTTATTTAACGTGAAAGAATTGGCAAGAGAAATTTGTCTTAAAAAATGCCATAAAATATCAAAAAAAATTATAGTGGAGTTTTTTGTTTGGCCAAAACCAATGGCAGTATTTTTTGGCCACACTAAAAAAAACAATGTTTTGGAATTTTACTTTTGTTTTTCTACTTTCTTTTAAACTTATCTTTGGAACAGAATAGAACAAGCAGAAAAACTAAGCGAAAAAATTGCAAATTTTGATGAAGAATCAAAATTGTTGCTTTTGAAACTTTTGGAGCAGTAATTATTGTTGCTAAAATACTGCTGTGGCAGTTGCTTAACAGAAGTTTAAAATTCCATCTACTTTTTTTTGCAGTTTTATTTTTTAGTCATAATGGCAAAAAAAAAAAAAAAAAAAAAAAAAA